ACAGTGTTATAGTAACACACGAAAGTCGTATAAAAATGAGAAAAAGCTTGCCCCCAATCCTAAAAATCTGATTTTGAGGACATTTACAGGTATTATGTATATATATACCCACAAGAAGTGTATTCGCAAAATAAATGCTCGCGGCACTTTTTAACATCGCAATATTTTATAACGTTACGTCCCGCGGACAACATCATTTCACACCTAATATAACCCTGAACACACCTCGGAATATAACAAAAATAAAGAAGAAAGGTGTGATGATTTTTTGACGTGATGTGAAAATATATTTTAAAATAACGTTGGTATAAGTTAAGTTTGTTACGTTGGTTACGTTGTAATAAGTTAAGATTGGTATTAACCAACGACATTTAGTGCAAACTCGATCGCTGGCCCGTAGGGTCCAGCTATAAAAGATTATGAAGTACGTACGTATATGACAAAAGTACAGCAGCTCACTGATAACAGAGAAACTGCTGTAGATAGTTCATAATGAAGTTGATGTAAATTAGATAAATTCTCTTATAATTGTTCGCTTATATTTGCCAAAAGGTGGCAGCAGCACTCAACGTGTAATAATAATATTATAATACATATCGTGCTTATTGACGCTGGTCTAGAGCCATAGTCACGAGCCACTCATAATTATTACAAGGTTACATAATTTATACGTGAATTGTAACACATTGACAGTCACAATTAATTTAGACATTTTATCGGATCGTAAATCTGTATGATAATTAGCGGGCATTCTTTTGTTTGTAAAACATGCGGCATGTTCTAGTCTATTTGCATTGGCTAAGAAAGTTATAGCATCCACAATTTGTTTGTGGCGGATTTTTTAGCCCAAAACCTGTTTGCAGTGGGTAAGTAAATTTGTAGACAACCCATTATTGTGGTAGCTAATTAATTATTTCTGCTGCTATCTATTTGGGCTGGATATAAAAAATACGCACGCACGCACCTATACACACACGCGCGCGCGCGCACGCACGCACGCACGCACGCACGCACACACACACACACACACACACACACAGGGAGATGTACATTTCGTTACATTTCGGCATTGTTATGTTATTGTTATTGTTATTGTTATTGTTATTGTTATTGTTATTGTTATTGTTATTGTTATTGTTATTGGTATTGTTATTGGTATTGTTATTGTTATTGTTATTGTTATTGGTTTTGTTATTGTTATTTTTGTTATTGTTATTGTTATTGTTATTGTTATTTTTGTTATTGTTATTGTTATTGTTATTGTTATTATTATTGTTATTGTTATTGTTATTGTTGGTGAACTACGCTAAACATTAATGAACTTAAACAAGTTGTATTCTTGTTGTTGTTTTACCAAGGTGTTATATCTTCAGCGCAATCGGTTCCTAAATCGTTTTAGTACGCATTTGGAATATCCGCTAGCTAGCGCTACAATACAACGCATAGTAGAAGGAACAGTTTTCTGTTCGGTGTAATAATCTTGTTTTTTTTATGCTAGTTCTGCTTCAAAATATAGCGTGACAAGTAGAAGACGAAGACCTCCCCCACGAAAAGCTAACATAAATGCGCCTTCCTGCCTGAATATGTAGCCAAACAACAGCTGCGTTGTGCTGTCGTGATAAATATCTTTAAATATTTGTTCTCTGCGTTTATCGCTCATGGCTCTAACCGCCATAACTGTATTGACGCTGCAACGTGCAGACTTGAACACGCAACGATGCGGATATATGGAGATTCAATGCCGTTACAGGCAGCTTGTACGTGATAAGTATTATTGTGAGGCATTAGTCATCCTATTCGCAATGAATCTGAGAGCGTACAGCTAGGCTACCCGTATGATTTCATCAAAAGTGAATAATAATTGATTATAATAGATCTATTATTATTCATTCCTGAGTTCATCATTATTTATCAGAGATTTTCTGGGGCACACGTACCGCCATCGCGTTGCCACGTTGAAATTGCACACATTATAGCAGCATTTGTTATTATTATCCCCTGATTATAGATGGATAACCATGATAACCATGCCAATGGATATCATATAATATATATATATATATATATATATATATATAATAATATATCAAGAGCTATAATAAAGAGATTAATATAATAATAAGGTATCTATAATATATAAAAGTTGTTCAGCCGAATTAGTTTGTAGTCGCATAACTAGAAAACTCCGCAGTCTAGAGGAAAACTAAAGATATTTTCAGAATCAGCACGTCTGAGAGGTGGTTCTGGCTGAAACAAAAATTTTAGAAAGTTAAAAATTTAAAATTTATAAAAATTCATCAATAGATGGCGGGTGCGTACAGGATTAACATAACGTACGTGTGAATCCATGTAATACACTTAACGGCGCAGTGGCATAATCGCTAGAACATCTGTCTCGTACACCCGGATTCGGGTTCGAATCCCAGCTGGGAACCTTTTTCCTTTTTCCCCTTTTTAGTATTATTATTTCTTTTCTTACTTTTAATTTTATATTTATATGTATGTTTTTTATCTTTGATTCTTATTATTTTTACTGTTTGAGATGGGATGGGATGCATGGAATGGCATGCCGATGGCATAGCGGATGGATGGCATGCATGGATGCATGGCATTGATGGGAATGGAATGGGATGCGGTGCGATAGGGATGCGGTGCGATGGCATGGCATGTCATCAGATGTCATGGCATGGCATGGCATATTATTGTATGGCATGAGAGGATGGGATGGGATGGGATATGGGATTGGATGGCGAGGGACGCCAGATGGATGGCCATGCGAATTTTGTGGGGGGGGAGGGATGATGGATGGATGGATTGAATGTATGATGAGGATAGATAAGATAGTAGATTTTTGGAGAGGTATTTCCTTTCAACAAGCGGTCACAACTGCAGTAACGCCACTGTCATTCCCGGCAACGCCCGGATCCCGCTAGTATATATATATTTCATTACATCCACTTATTATTACCGTACTAAGAACTCAGTTAATGTTCTGACTACAACGACCAATCTACACAGCGTACGGATGCCACCATGACAGCACAGTATGATTACCTCGCAAGGGGTTGCAGTGAGCTGTATTTTAACCAAGCGGCGTGTGTTGGTGGTTGTGGTTGTGTACAGCCTAACGTAAAAAATTATGACGGTCTTTCATAAATTTTCATGATAGCTGTCAGAAATGGGCTAACTATAGAATTGCATGATGATTTTGTGAGGGATCAAGTGATTAATTAATTTATGTTTAATTAATTAATATATAAATTTTCAGAACGAGGGCAGAAATGGGAACTTAGAATTGATTACATTTTTTAGTGGTGATCCCGGATACCAATTAATGAATCTAATTAATTAAATTTCCAGGATAGTCAGAATATGGGGGAACTTAAATTGATAACATTCTTGGTGTCATCCGCCCAATTAACTTATTTAATTTATTTATTACATTAAATTAAAAATATCACAGTGAATAGAATTGAGCTGCCTCGTCGGAGCGTCTCACTCTCCTGAGTTGCTCTAGCTTAATAATTACAACCAAAGCCAGTAGGCCTACCAACCTGTTTACGGCGAATACGTGTTATGCCGCGTCTACGCAGGATTTGATAATGTCGCTGAGCTCCTCGACTCATTGTTGTCGCACATCACGTTGCACTCCACGAAAGTGAGGAAATTATGGTATGATTACGCGATATTTACTATATTGTCGTGACAAAATTTTAAATAATTACGCGATGTGATTGTGACAATATGAATAATGCCCAGTAATGAGAGATTATCGCTATCGGAAATATAATATAACGCTGGCGGTTTTACGACATTTGACTTTACGCGGGTTTCGCGCGGCTATCGGTGTATGTCGCCGACAGCAGTACATACGCGAAGCGATCAACCTGTCTATCACGTAAATAATTCGCTCATACGTAATTTGTATATTAGGACTGTTTACTTGCATACGTAACGAAAATGAACGTATAGCGTAGGCTACAACGAGAGATAACACTGCCAGATTTAAATTGTGGTAATATGTTCATTAATAATACTTTAATATTATAACTCAGGTCAAAACCAGCATGTAAAAAGTACCTATTATCAGGAGCTAGAGTGAATAGGATTTCCCTATTATTCTACTCCTGATATTATATGTTATTAATTTATTTATTATCTCACGCTGATGATTCCATTCCTCTGTGTTTCCCTGTCGCTGTCTTTCTCTCGGCCAATCTCGGCCCTCTCATCTCCCTCTCTCTCTCTCTCTCTCTCTCTCTCTCTCTCTCTCTCTCTCTCTCTCTCTCTCTCTTCTCTCCTCTCTCTCTCTCGCTCTCCTCTCCTGATTTCTCACTTTCTCTCTCCTCTCTCTCTCTCCTCTCTCTCTCTCTCTCTCTCACTGTTTCTTCACGTTTCTCTCTCTCTTCTCTCTCTCTCTCTCTCTCTCTTCTCTCTCTCTCTCTTCTCGTTCTCTCTTCTCTCTCTCTCTTCTCTCATCGCCTGTCTCTTTCTTCTCACTTACTCTATGCTGATCACATTTCCTATGGAAATATCTGCATTTATTATGATCCCACCACCTTACCAGTAAACACACCATTACTGCATTAATGCATACCGCGTTTGTACGGCAATATCCCTGACATCTTTTTCTGAATGGCCGTAGTTATGTCTCTCGGCGTCGAAACACCGGCAGCGCACTGATAGCCCCGCAGCTTCTGTAGGGTATTCTAACCCTGCAATACCGTTTCTTGGCGCTACGCACTGACTCGCCGGCACACAAACGAGTCCCAAACATTCTATGCCTGAATACCACCGTAGCTCCAATCGTACGAGTTGCGGCCGGTGGCGCTGGCTTCAAAGCTGACCTTTCGCGCGTTTTTTTTTACAGATATCTCATGTTCCCGACTATATGAAATGTTTGTGGTTGCTCGAACTCGTATTTTAGCGACGACAAAGCGGGGAACGCGGGATGGCCCGAGGCGCTCGTAAACTTTCACACGCAATGCCGAAAATCATATAAAAGATGAGTACAGATATACATCTAATAGGTGGCGTTGTGCGCCGAGTGTAATCAGAGCCGTATATAGAGATCTGTGAGTGTGATAAATCGCTTTTTTGTCTTTTCGTCAATCATGAACATGCAAAAGATGGCGTGTCCTACGAAAACATCGACAAGTGATAGCAGGAGTAAGATAATATAGGATATCCTATATTATCTTACTCCTGCTGATAGTATACCCGCGTCTCGGCGCGAAGCAACCTACCACCTCATGTCTAACTAAATCTTGCTAAATCATTATAACTTGGTAGTTACGGTGCTAGCTCCAACTTGGTGTTGTGTATTGTGGTGGTGGATTGTGGTGGTTGTGCTTGAAAACACGTATTATTTCAACGTGTTATTTTAGAGCCCATTGTGAAGGTGTGGCAGAACATGAGAGTTTAAAAGCTGAGTTTTTGCGGCACGTGTAGACGCAAAAACTGGCTTTTATAGACTCCGCGTATTACAATCGGTCTAGAGTAGTCGTGCGTTATTCTCGTCTGTGTTCAGGCATTCAATACCATGTCGGCGTTTTTGCATGCCATTTTTTCCGATCGAGCAGTATTTCCGAGGTTCTCCTTCTCCATTTTGTATTTTTTTCTTGGAGATTCCCAGTACCGCAATGAATAATCCGTGATCATGGGAAAGGAGAGTTACATGAGTCATAGCCTACGACGAAACCGAGTGAAATATTCGGTGCGTTAGTTGTGAGGTGATGACGTAAATCTTCAATCAAAACGGGCACCATGGAATCTGATAAATCTTTGAACAATTTATCTTACATATATATATATATATATAACTTGTTATTCTAGCAGGCATTCTTTCGTGTGGAGGCGTAATTACAGGAATTTTATCTCGTGTAGGGACTGCTGTAAATATACGTAACCAAAGTTTAGACAAAGATGTTGTGTTCGCATTTTCATATGATCTACATCAATTCATTGGCTATTAGATAATAAAGCCATTGTAATATACGAACCTGAAAAAATAGGATCGATTTCGTGGACATGGCTTCAAACAAGAAAGTTTTGAAACATTTTCACGTGAGATTAAGCCTATGGGCGATTTCTATCTAACTGCAAATAGGGCGATACATAGGAGAACAATTTGGGTGCGCCAGCATGTTTATGCTTCTCTGTAAACTGTTTATAATGGTGGAAACCGATTCGTCATATGGCTAGCGACGTTATTATCACAGACGTTATCCGCCAGCACGTTGCCGACGGGGCATTTGCGATTACTGCAACATCTTGTTCTCATATGGTCGACATGCGGACTGCACGGGATTACGTTAGTATATTTAGCTTCAAATAGCAGACTAATTGGCCACAGTTGGTTATACTTTATTGCCTATTCGGTAGTTTCCTCGTTGCATTCCTCCGATAATCACATAAACGGTGAACGCGTTTGGCTGATTGGCCGCAATGTTGGTAACGCTATCGTTTATTATCCAGACGCGCGGGATACCGGAGACGTATATAAGCACACCTCCCACTGGGGCGCTAGGAACACATCGACGAGCTTCGTAGCGAGCTGTAAGCGCGGATTTTCTCTCTCTCATCTAGTGCTGCTACTCTGGGAACGCTTGCTGCCACGCCCCCTCGTTTCACGTGATTGCAAGAAATCACTCACGCGGTGTATTGAAAGCGTTGCTGCACAAGGACGATCGAGTGAACGGTGGTCGGCACATTTTCACGCGGATGAATATCGCAGATTATTAGTAAAGGTATGTGATTTACACGGTTGCGTACAACGCATTAATTGCTCAAGCGTAAGCTAGCAGATAGCCGAGATATGCTCGAATGAAAGAGTTGTTTCTCGCACCTCTATACCTTTGACTCGTTTTCTATTTTCCGCTCTCATTTTCGCACATCTCCCCCTCTCTATCTATCTCTCTCGCATCTGTTCTTCATTTCACTTTCACGATCGCCCCCTTTCTCTTGATCACCTTTTATAATTATGCTCTACAGTCGTGGATTTTATTTTTTCCGTTGCCCTTCCTGCACATCCGCTCCAAGTGTCTATAGATCAACTTAATCAGTGTAAGTAACGCGCTACATGACGTAGACTTGGATAGCTCCTATTTGAGTATATAAGTCCGCCCCTCGCGCTAGACTTCGGGTATTTAGCGCGGTGAGCGGCTGTGGGTGAACGGCTGTATTCAATCAACGCAGGGCTGATGCAAACTACATTGTAATTATTCGTAATCGCGAATTAGGAACAGACGTATTATGTCAATTCACGTAGCTGAACGCAAGCGGGTACCGACAGTCACGCCTTCACTATCGCATGACGACTTTTCCCCCTTAGCGTTATCTATATCTCGATTACAAGTCGCCTTTTTCAGGTTCATCGCGCAGCCACGATACTACTATTACAGTGTAAACAGCGGGAAACGCGATCACGGGGTTTATACACACGCGCGTGGAATGTGACGACACAACATCACAGACAGTGTGCATGACCGGACGGTTGTTCACTCACAGCTGTACGAGGATCTATGAACATGTACGTATATAATATATAGCTATTTATGTGCTTCACGTTATTCACAGGCAGGTGGGCAATTCTACTGATGAAATTATGGTAAATGAACACGATTTATTTCTACCTACTACTAGTAGAAAGTTTTTGTGTTCATGTACATTATATCGCCACATATAGTTCTCTGCAACGACGCAATCTGGCTGCACGCATGCCACCGTGCACAAACTCACGAAAAATATAAGAAGAAGAATATAAGAAAATAAGAAAAGCAAACTCTCATAAGTAACTTTATCTTTTGTGAGTTTGCGCACTATGGCAATTAAGTGTGTGATGAGATGTGTCGTAGAGGAGAGTTTGAACCACCGGCACTTGGACCATTTCCATAATTAAATTATTATAATTAAAAACGGATTGTATTTACTACTGAAGTCTAAATGCCTATCTACTATATCTATCACCAAATAATTCCACGTAAATACCGCGTAATGCGCTCACACCCACAGGCACTTGGAACGTTTTAATAATAAAATGATGGTAAATAAACACTAACTGTATTTATTAACAAAGGCTTTATGCTTATAATTATGTTCTCTATAGACGAGTAATTTCACGTAAACGCCGTTCAATTGCTCCTCTGCAACACACGGTCTCACCGCACGCACGCCGCTGTGCACAAACTACAAAAATTCTAGAAATTATTACTAATAATGGGCGAAAGAGAGTAGAGAAATATGAGGACTGGTAGTAAATACATTTCGCGTTTATTTATCATTATTTTATTATTAAAATGTTCCAAATGTCAAGTGCCTGTGCTCACGCCAATGTGCACAAACTTACAGAAAGATATGGAGGGAGTATGGTTCTATACTATACGCGGTTAAGTCTACTATATTAGCCGTTATAGAATACGTAAAGATTCGAACTTTGGTAGTAAATATAATTCGTGTTTATGTATACTAAATTTTCAGGATAGGGCAGAAATGGGGTAACTTAGAATTGATTACATTTTAGTGGTGATCCGGATCCAATTAATTAATTAATTAATTAATTAAATTTTCAGGATAGGTCAGAAATGGGGTAACTTAAAATTGATAACATTTTGGTGGTCATCCGGCTCCAATTAATTATTTAATTTATTTATTAATTAATAAAAAATTTCACAGTGAGAGAATTGAGCTGCCTCGTCGGAGGTCTGCGCTCTCCGAGTGCTCTAGTTATAATTACACTACAAAGCCAGTAGGCCTACCGTGTTTACGCGAATACGTGTTATGCTGGCCTACGCAGCTTGATAATGTCGCTGAGCTCCTCGCTCATTGTGGTCGCACATACGTGCACTCACGAAAGTGGAGGAAATTATGTATGATTACGCGATATTACTATTATTGCGTGACAAATTTTAAATGATATTACGCGATGTGAGTTGTGACAAATGAATGAGACTGCCCAGGTAATGAGAGATTTATTGCTGTCGGAAATATAATATAAGGCTGGCGGTTTACCGACATTATGACTTTACGCGGGTTCGCGTCGGCTAGTCGGTGTATGTCGGACAGCAGACAACGCGGAGGCGTCAACCTGTATCACGTAAATTAATTCGCTCATACGTAATTTGTATATTAGGACTGCTTTACTTGCGATACGTAACGAAAATGAACTATAGCGTGGCTACCACGAAAGAAACACTGCGATGTTAAATTGAGTTTAATATGTTTTATAATACTTATATTATAACTCGTCAAACCAGCATGTAAAAGTACCATATTATGTTATTATTTATTTATTATCTCACGCTTGTGTTCCATTCTCTCTGTGTTTCCCTGTCGCTCTCTTTCTCTCGGCCAATCTCGCCCTCTCCTCTCCCTCTCTCTCTCTCTCTCTCTCTCTTTCTCTCTCTCTCTCTCTCTCTCTCTCTCTCTCTCTCT